GTTGTTGATGGGAGTAAATTGAAACAGCACCGCAGGTTGGTTGGGACATCTACCAGCGCAGGCAACTTTGGGAGAAAATAAACCACAAATAGTGTGTGTGTGTGTGTGTTGAGAGTTGGGGAGAGATTTCCATACTATACATAGGACTGTCTGAAGAGGTGGGCATTGGCATTTTGTACACAGATCATTATGGAGCTACAGGCGTGCTGGCTGGCTACGGAGAAGCATTTCATCTTCTTATCTCATCTTCAAGGTCTTGCTCCTGCTAATTACTTTCAGATTATTCGGGAAGTGTCGCAATCCTACTCTTTCATCCTCCCACGCTCCCATGTAAAGAGGGAATATGTCTCAGTATCAGTGCCCCTTCCTATAATTCAAAGTCAGTGGCAGGCAGTGCCTCTTAATATATTACTTGCCTGCACAGTGCTTTGAACACAGCGAGGGATAAGGCAATCGGGGGACTGACTAGCAAGAGTGAGGGAGCTGAAATGACAGCTCTTCATATTTAAGAGCTTTCTGAAGGACCTTGAGTTAACGAATGATGTTGAATCCACACCCCTACAATACTGCGGGAGCTCATTTTAGTCTCTCCACACCATTACCCCCTCTTTCCCTCCCCGCTCTCAACTAGGTACATCAACAAATTGTTCAATGTTCAAAACAAATATTGAATAAAAACAGTCTTAAAGGCAAAGGTTTTTAATGAAGCTGTTGAAGCTACAATGGAACTGAACCAGCCAAAAATAGCAACAGAAAGAAAGCAATCTGTTATTTTCCTAACCTTATTGAATCGATATATTACCCTTTTGCCTCATGTCACGCCTCATCCAAGGAACCATTTTTATCATGGAAGCTGGAATTCTTCCCACTCAATACCCTGCAGCCCTACCTGAACAAGCAGCGGGAATTTTGCCAGACATTGCTTTCAATGGCTAAACTCCAGCAGTACCTCAACTTACACTCTGTGATACCCAATCCTTGGCTCTTGCCAACCTACGCTTTATACTCTCTGAGAATAGGTAAACTGGGTAGTTGAACAGGCTGCCTGAAATGAGTATCTTGGCTCACACATTAGGAATGGCGAATTAACCGACGTTCTTGCGGGACGTGCCTGACCTCTGTCTGGTTTATTGCTTCGACCTCAGTGATATGACCTAGACAGGGAACTTGCCTTGCAAGGAATTTGGGCTAATTTTGGCCAATGAGGTAGATCACGAAACTGCTCGGTTTCGGCAATTTAATTTAAAAAGAAAAACTTCCCTGCAGTGACCAAAATGCATATGCTGCAGTAACACTTTCCTGTCAAGTGAGTGACCAATTTTATTTGGGGATTGATAGCAGTTCACTAGGCGAAACTCCCTTCTCTTCTTGAATAAGTTCTAAACGATCTTTAACGTCCACCCGAACAGGAAGGTGGGAACTTGGTTTAAAGTCTCATCCAAAGGATGGTAAATCCAACAGCGAGGCAAACCCCGAGAGCTGAGAGCCTGGACTATATGAGTTCAAACAAAGAGCTGAATATACTATAAAGTGAATCGACTGTACATTTTGTGGGCAAAATAGGTTTGTATCCAGATTCTAGTATCATCAGGCTTTCCTTCAACAACAACAACAAATGACATTAGTGCCTTTCACGTTGGGAGGACGTCCCAGGGCACTGACAGTTTACAATTTAGGCTTCATCTTGAGAAAGGGACAATATTGTTAGCTTCCTCCTTAATGTCCTAAGCAATTTGAAAGTTATTCAGATATTCCCTACAGTTAAGGAGAGAAGTGGCTCCAATAAACAAACACAATTGCACAGCCTGTTATAATATGACTCACTGGCTTCAAGGCCAGTGAATGCAGAGACCTGGAATGTGTAAATTACAACTCTAATCCTATTAAATGCTCTAAAACAGCAGTGAGTCTGCTCAGACTTGGATGTATAATAGATTTTGCACACCTACAGGCGAATGAGTCAGAATCAATTATAAAGGGGTGGGTAGGATCTGTCTATTGCTCTGCTATTTCCTCCACATTATGAGCTGTCCTTGATTTCGAGGCTGATTCAGTTACAGACCCAGATGGTTGATCTCCTGCTGTCTGGATTAAGAAGTTACTTCGGGAGAAGCTCACATGAAAGTTAAATAAAGAGCGAGAGGGACGAGAGATTTAATGTCGGTTGGCCGATCACTCTCCGGGGGTAATAATCCATCAAAAAAAAGTGATCACTGTGTGTGCAATTGGCTGCTGCGTTTTGCCCACAAAATATACAGTTAAGTCACTTTACAGTATATTCTGTGAAGCGCTTGGAGACGTTTCAAAGATGTGATAAGGTGCCATGCCAAATGCAAGGATTATTACTATTATTCTTAGTACTGCAGGGCAGCAGAAAGCACGGTTAGTAATTCTGGAGATGTTTTTAAACTCAACAGTATTCAAGCTTGAGCTTAGGTTCCAGACTCGTGAGAATTAGGTTGCTGATTGAAGACAGGGTACTGGCATCATATATGGCGCCTACAAAGCCCTTTGGAAAGAGATTAGATCTCCCCTTACAGTAATGCATCCCATCTATTCAGGGGTAAATCGTTTCCTGGTTTCGGAATGCTTGGTTGCAGAACCGCATAGTAAGATTGTGAATCCCGATCATTATCAATTGGCCTCCACTGGTAAGTTCATGTGCAGAGGTCAGACAGGGACCTTTCCCCCCTAAGGTCAGGCTTGGGGGGCGAAAGGCGACATGGTTAAGCCCGTATCGACCTGTCCGTTCCCTCCGCTCAGCAGGCTCTGGCCTGCTCTATGTCCTCCACCCGACCAGCCCTACCATCGGGGGTCAGGCTTTCAGTCTCTTTGCCCCCACCCTTTGGAACTCCAGCCCACAGACCCTTCGCCTCACTCCCTCCAATGCCTCCTTCAACAACAACAAAATGTTATTTGTATAGCGCCTTTTCACTTCGGGAGTACGACCCAAGGCCCGTCTCAAGACTTTCCTCTTTGACCGCTGCTTTGGTTACCCTGCTACCCCCACTCTCCCTGCCCTCCACACCGCCTGACCCCAACCCCCAGCTCAGGTCCAAATCCTTGAACGTCCAGGGCCTTGGGATGTAATTTGTTGTTATTGTTAAATAGGCTGTTGACATGCACTTGCAGAAAAAAAGGCTTTAAAATTTAAGGCTGTCTTTAAGAATTAGTCAAGCATCTTACAGAACAGGAACTTGCTTATTTGAACCCGTTTCATGCTGAGTTTGCTGGGGTCAGTTGGGGTTGCATAGGGAGGCTAAAATAAAGATAAATAATAATTTGGTCACTCAATCCACGACTGTTTGTGGGACACTGCTGTGTGCAATTGGCTGTCACGTTTTGCCCACCAAATGTACAGTCAATTCACTTGACACTTTACAGTATATTCTATGAAGCGCTTTGAGAAGCCTCAACAACGTGATAGGGCGCTGTGATATCAAAGGTGAGGATTTTTTAAATCATAAATTCAAAAAATAATTGGTTTCACTAAATTTTAAAAAATAAAAATAAAAGAATTCGCAAAATTCTGGAGGATCTGAATTGCTACGTAACTATAGTAAATCTACACCATACATTCTCCCAACTCTTTGGTGCGAAGTGAAGCTTACTGATCTTGCTTGTAAAGGGTTTAACTCTCGCTTTAAGGTTATGTTCCTTCGTTTTAGATCATTCTACTTGAGGGGCAGAGTTGTTCGCTACCGACCCTGTGAATTACCTTATTATTTTAAATACCTCAATTATGTTAACTCTCAACTTCCTCAATTAAGTCAACCATTAACTTCCTCAGATGCTGTCTAGATGCTTTGAGACGTCCTGCTGACATGAAAGGCGCTGTAGCAAATGCAAGGATTATTATTATAAACATCCATTCTATTCCACATCTACATCTTTGTGGGTCAGTGCATTGCACATTCTCACAGCCTTCTGTGTGTTAAGAAATGTTCTCTCAGCAAATACCAATCCTTTAAACCTCTAATCCTATTCTCAACCAGATATTTATCCAGTTGAGGCTGATCCCCAAGTAAAGGATGTAGATTTGACAACAGTGTTGAGAGCAAATCACATCCCACAATGTTTCTGTTAATTCCTCCTCCAGTGTTTACATCCAAATAGCAGCAATGGTGGAAATCCACCGCAAGTCAATCAGTGTCTGGCATAGCGAGGTGAGGTGAGGTAAGGCAAGGCAAGTGTTTCCGGGCAGGACTTGACTTGCTGTGAATTTCCAACAACAATTTCAGGTTTTGTTTTAAATTTGTGGCCTTTGCAGTTTTCCAATCTGGGAGTTAATTTTTTCTTACTTGTTGGCAGAAATCGGTCAGATGTTACCAAAACGCCAAGTCAAGACATCAAGTTACAAAAAGTATAAAGTTACATTTATACCAGCAACTTACATTTCTATAATGTTTTTCACCTTAGGAGGACGTCTCAAAGTGCTTCACATAGCTGAATGGCAATATGTGCCTGGGGTGGGAGAGCTGAGGAGGGTGGGAGGTAGGGAGAAGGTGACCAAAAGTTCATTATTATTAAGATAGGCCTTAATATTAATCCTTAGATTTGATATTGCGCCTTTCACATCGAGAGGATGTCTCAAAGCGCTTCACAGTATTTACGAAGTAACCTAAGCCTCGGTTTACCTAGCAGTCAATAGAAACCCGGTTGTAAGTCGGTTGTCGGATCGTTTTCCAGGGCAAAAAATAATGATTTGTTCACTCAATCCATGACTGTTTGCGGGATATTACTGTGTGCAATTGGCTGGCACTTTTCGCCCACAAAATATATAGTGAATTGACTTTACAGTATATTCTGTGAAGCGCTTTGCTTGCTGGGCACTGAGCAAAGGTTTAAAGATGTTCACGAAAGGCATGGTCGAAGAGATATGTTTTTAGAGTTTTGAAGGTAGCATGCTAAGACAGATTGGTTTCGGGACAGAGTTCCAGTGGACTGGTCAGTCTTATCTGATTATAGAATTGTAAAGATATAGCAAATTAAATACTCACTTCATTGGCCAAGGCAAATGTTCCCCAGTGAATTCCCACAGATTTTTTTGCTTGAACATCTATATGAATCCTCACAGCTTCCTCTGGATTTACATGTTGATATTTCATGAACCACCTGGAACAAACAAGGAGAGACAAAAAACATAAGAGACTTGTGAGCCAGCTGCCTCAAATTCCGAACAATAAGGTGTCTATTTTAGCCCAGTATTGCATTATAATAATCCTAATAATAATCCTTGCATTTGATATAGCGCCTTATCGCGTTGTCGAGACGTCTCAAAGCGCTTCGAAGCACTGCATTTTGTGGGCGAAACGTGGCAGCCAATTGCGCATAGCAATGTCCCACAGACAACCATGGAACAAATGACCAATTTTATTTGGGGGATTGTTGGCTAGGACAACAGGAGAAACTCCCTTCTCTTTTCGAATAGGGCCATCGGTTCTTTAACGTCCAACTGAAGGACGGAGCTATAAACAGAACTAACATGCTGTTTCTCTTCCCTGCTCACATAGTCACCTATACTGAATGGAGAAGTAGGGGGGAGAGCACGAGAGAATGGTATTGTTTGAGTCACTAGGAACAGGTACACCAAAATATTTAGAGGAATCCAGGTTACAATTCCCTCTTTCATTTCTCTACTGAAACCTTTTGGTGTTGTGTAAGGCCACACAATGGCATTGGATTCTAACATGAGGGCCTCACAACCAAGCCAAATGTTGGTCTTATATGATATCTATGCAGGAGATCTTTCAAGCAGGAGTCACTTCATAGCGAAAAGGAATGGGATCCATTGCTATTTTTTTACCCAAGGTGCTAACAATAATAATCCTTGCATTTGATATAGCGCCTTATCAGATCCTTGAGACATCTCAAAGCGCTTCACAGAATATATTGTAAAATGAATTGACTGTATATTTTGTGAAATGCAGCAGCCAATTGCGTACAGCAGTGTCCCACAAACAGTCGTGGATTGAGTGACAAAATTATGATCATTTTATTTATTTTTTTGGAAGGGATTATTACCCCCGGAAAAGCGATCCGCCAATCCAACTAACAACCGGGTTCCTAATTATTGCTAGGTAAGCAGAGGCGTATGGAGTAAGGGAACCTGCCTAAGGTTTTACTGTGCTCGGGAATCAAACTCTGATCCTCTCGTTTGCGAGGCGAGTGTTCAAACCAATATGCTACGGGAATCCACGTAGGTCGAATTGTAGAGTCCAGACTGTCGCCCTCGCTGAGATCAGCCAACTGAACACACACCAGAATTCAAACCTGCAACCAACTGGGCTGTATGACTTAGTACTCCATCCACTATATGCCATCAGAGAATTAGCGCTTCACAAAATACACTGTAAAGTGGATTGATGTGTATTTTGTGGGCGAAACGCGGCAGCCAATTGATAAATAGGAGAAATCTATTTATGCAAAAATAGAAGTAAGGAGAAGTAAGTAAACAGGGAAGTAAAGGCATCTGGCACATCAGTTTTAATGTGGAAGTTAGAGATTCCTATCTCTCTCACCGTCTCCACTTTGTTGCCTCTAATGGTTTCTCCTCCAGCCCCTGCACTGTTACGTCTGGCGTCCCCCAGGGCTCTGTCCTTGGCCCTCTCCTCTTTAATATCTATATGCCCCCCCCCTTGGTGACATCATCCGCAGACATGGGGTCAACTTCCATATGTATGTGGATGACACCCAACTCTATATTTCTGCCTCCACCCTCAACTCCAGGACCACTGCTGTCCTGACAGACTGCCTGTCGGACATCAAGTCCTGGATGAGGGCGAACTTCCTACAGTTCAATGTGAACGATACTGAGGCCCTCCTGATTGGCTCGCGCCAGCGCCTCCGCACCTCAGGCTCTGTCAGCATCAACCTCCATGGTTGCACACTTCAACTCACCAAACCAGTCAGGAACCTCGGTGTCTTGTTCGACACTCAACTGTCTTTTCTTCCCCATATCCCAGCCATGACCCGCTCTGCCTTCCATTCACCTCCGTAACATCGCCCGACTCCACCACTACCTCACCCCTCAGGCCACTGAAACTCTTGTTCATGCCTTCATCACCTCCAGACTCGACTATGCAAACGCGCTGCTTGTCGGCCTTCCCAACTCCTCCCTCCACCGGCTCCAGATAATCCAGAACTCTGCAGCCCGTGTCCTCTTCCCCACCAAACTTCGTGACCCCATCTCCCCCACTCTCGCCCGACTCCACTGACTCCCTATCCTTCAGAGGATCCAGTTCAAGATCCTGGTCCTCACCTACAAAGCCCTCCATGGCCTCGCCCCACCCTACCTCTGTGACCTCCTAACCCTCTACCAACCCACCCGCTCCCTCCCCTCAACCGGCTCCGGCCTGCTCCACATCCCCCAACCCACCCGCCCCAACATTGGTGGGTGAGCCTTCAGCCACTCTGCCCCAACCTCTGGAATTCCATTCCCCAATCGCTCTGCCTCGCCCCCTCCTTGGCCTCCTTCAAGTCCCGCCTCAAAACCCTCCTCTTCAACCATGCCATCGGTCACCCCTCTTCCCCTCCCCTCCCTTCTCCCCTTTGACCTCAGTTCGGGTCTGAAATGCTGTACACTGTCCAGCACCTTGGGACGTCCTCCCGACGTGAAAGGCACTATACAAATGTAATCTCGTTGTTGTTTTGTTTAGCAAATCCAGCTTCTGAATGAATTTAAGAATTCTCTACAATTCTGCAGAATCTTACAAATTTTACGACAAAATTATCTTACAGGCTAAGCCTAGGTGGAATTTCAGGCCTACAGGAAGCCAAGGTCACAATTTGTTATCTCAAGGTTTTAGTCATACTTTATAGCAATTGATTAAGCAATTTTGTAATAGGATTATCATTTTGCTATCTTTTACAGTGAATGCCTCAAAAGTGCCTCACACATGAATGGTCTACTGGACCTCATAATGAATAAATAGAATAAATAATAATAATAATCCTTGCATTGCATTTGATATAGCAACTTAGCACGTCACTCGAGACATCTCAAAGCGCTTCACAGAATATACTCTAAAGTGGATTGACTATGTATTTTGTGGGCGAAACGCGGTAAATAGGAGAAATTTATTTATCCAAAAATAGAAATAAGAAGTAAATAGGAGAAGTAATAGCATCCAGCATGAAGAACATATAATTCCTTCAAAAATAATAATAATAATAATAATTTGGTCACTCAAACCACGACTGTTTGTGGGACACTGCTGTGCGCAATTGGCTGCCGTGTTTCACCCACAAAACATACAGTCAATTCACTTTACAGTATATTTTGTGAAGTCCTTTAAGACGTCTCGAAGACGTGATAAGGCGCTGGATCAGATGCAAGGATTATTATTATTACATTCCAATATGCACTAGATCTTGCAGATAACCCGATCTCTGAGAGCCTGTTACAGCAATCAACGCATTGAAGAACCCGGTGCATTGACAGCAGCAATTTTACGGTATATTGTTTCACCATTAACGAGCGATCCACACACACATGCAGCACGTTAGGTGAGAGGTCAGGGCACACCAACAATGTGCATTACAATGAAGCTACTACAGTTACGACATTTATCAGACTGTTTACTTCTCTGAATGCCGTCGGACCATAAAAAGGGAGATTAGACATTTCATATGGCTTAGTTCCCGGCTAGTTGTTTGGTCGACAATGCAGCCTGGGATAACCTTTTCATTGAGTTTTGAATGAAAACCATTGACTACATTTGCGAAGCTGCAATTCAGCATTTGAGATTCCTGACCTGCGGCATGCAAATAATTTGCAGGGCACATAAAAATAAATCGTACCTACACTGAGCAGCGCAAGGAGTGTAACACAATCCGCAGCTGCCTTGGTGGCATTATAGTTATACCAAATTAATTCAAATAGGATGGGAGGGAGGGAGGGAGAGAAGGAGGGAGAAGAGAACGGCAAGCTTTTTTTAAAAATACTTTACATGTTATGAAGTTCATATTTTGCAGCAACAACAAATTGTACTTAAATAGCGCCTTTCCTGTCGGGAGGAAGTGTTTGCTCCTGAGATGGGGGCTGGAGTCAAAAGGAATCAAGGGCAAAGTGGGGGGGTTGGGGGTGGAGGTATATATCCTGTGATGTGCTTTGGGATGTTCTCCTGATGTGAAAAGCCCTTTACCACATGTAAGGATTATTATTATTAATTAGTATTATTATTAATGTAGCATCTCATCATATCTGCTTCAAACTGTATCTCACTATGTCTCTGACAGTAGTGTGCTTCCTCAGAACTGCCTGGATGAGGAGCCTAGATGATGAGCTCAAGTCCTGGTTGGGAGAGTAGGGGTACTTGAACCTTCTGGCCCGAAGGCAGAAGAAGGCTTCATTCTCTAACACCACCCGGGATCAGCACCAAATTCACACCATTTATTCTCCTTCCTCTAAGTGGAACAACAGCTTGCATTTACATAGCGCCTCACATAGTTCCAGAACGCTTGACTGTGGCGGAGCACGACACTGAGCTGGTGGGAGGGGGAGGTGACTGTAGGCACGGTCGAAGAGGAATGTCTTCAGCCACGCCTGAAGATGGGGAAGGAGGGATAGAGGAAGAGAGTGTTCCACAGTTTTGGTGTGTTGTGGCTGAAAGTGTGGCCACTGATGGTGGAACGGAGGGCACGAGGGATAAGCAGAAGGCTGGAGCCAGTCGAGCAGAGGCAGCAGGCAGTGGTTTGGGGGTGAACAGTTTGGAAGGGTAGGGAGGTGCCAGGGCACGAAGGGATTTCATGACAAGACGTAAGAGTTACACATATCATGGCAAGTGAGAGGATCACGGCAGGACGTAGGAGTTACACATAGGAGTGACGCACCTCGGTTCGTAGGCTCCAATCGGAATGGCGGCCAGGTCAAAAGGTCCGTACCGTTTCCCTATCTGTTCGAAGGCCACGCAGTAACCTGTATCTCCGGCAAAAAAAAATCTATTCCAAGGTCCCAGGACACACCAGCTGCCCCACAGCACCTTGTTGTCATCTGTGACCGTCCGCTTGCTCCAGTGCTGCACCGGGGTGAACACAAAGGTGATGTCGTCGTGTCCGGGCACACAGTTCTCCTCCCACCAGTCCAGCTCGATCACATTCTCACAGCCACACTTCTGCATCCAGTCCAAGAGGCCCAGAGGCACAAACCAGCGCAGGTCACTGCCAAACCTCTCGTTGAGACTCACCACCGTGTTGTAATCCAAATGGTCGTAGTGCGTGTGGCTGATGACCACGGCGTCTATGGTGGGGAGCTGGGACAGAGCGCAGGGTGGGCTTCGGAATCGCTTGGGCCCCAGGAACTGCACAGGCGAGGCTCGCTGGCTGAAGATGGGGTCGGTTAGAATGACGAGTCCCTCCATTTCCACCATCAGAGAGGCATGTCCCATCCAGGTCACCCGGATCCCATTGCCCGTCCGACCCACCAACTCGGGGTCTTTGACGAAGTACGGCTCCACTATTGGCAGTGCTTCATCAAGCTCCTAGAGACAGCGAGAACAAGATATTGAGATAGTAATCTCTTCGCCTTTGATGTCACTCCTGTAGTAATAAATAATAATAATAATCCTTGCATTTGATATAGCGCGTCCTGTGGCTCAGTGGTTAGAGCACTCAGCTCGCAAGTGAGAGGACCTGGGTTCGATTCCCGGGCAGGGCGAAACATTGGGCATGTTTCCTTACTCCATACGCCTCTGTTTACTTAGCGGTAAGTAGGAAACTGGTTGTTGGCGGATTGGCGGATTGCTTTTCCGGGGATAATAATCCCTTCAAAAAACACTAAAACATCTCGAAGACGTGATAAGATGCTAATTCAAATGCAAGGATTATTATTATTATTACGTGGTCGAAACGTGTCAAAGCACTTCATGGGATACATTATAAAGTGTCGTGACTGTTTATTATGTGGACAAAATAACATATGACAATATAAATATAACTGGAACAGCAAAGTATCTCCAACTGCTACCCAGGTAACTGCTATCAAGTTTAGTTACTGTGTATCTGTAGGCAGACAATTTGCACACAGCAATGAAAACCATGACAATTCACTGTTCTTTAAAATAGTGCTCGGGGAACTTGAACATCCACCTGAAATACCAAAACAGGCAAGTAGAATCTTGTTTTCCCATTTCAGGTGAAAGACAGCATTTCTAACAATGCAGCACTCTCCTCAATACTGGACTTAAACCCACAACTTGTGACCCAGAGGCGAGAGAGAGAGAGAGACATCCACTGAGTCAAAATGCCATGTTGATTCCGTTGCTGTGATAGTGACAGCTTTGAGCTTCGGTAAAGATTTTTCTGTACAACTGAATTTTTAATATTCTACTGCAGTATAACGCAATAAAAAGAGTATGAAACAAGCCTCGTGGGACTCAGGCTTTATTTACATTCAGTCACTTATAGTCAGTGTCAATGTAAGCAGAAGGCAGGCATTTTAAAATTAGCAACGACTTAAACCGTTCCGTTGAAAAATTGTCAAAAGAGTGTTCGAAATATTCTTCAACGTAAAACTCCACAGATCTAGGTCTGTCCATTGTGACTTCTGCGCCTGAGAACACAATGGTCATCAGATTCTGAAAAATTGTCAGCAAGAATAATTAATATTGTGCCGTCTCGTGCTGAAATGTCTCAAACAGCCTCACACAAGGGTTTCCTTTAAAGCTTCGCGCGGGGTGTGTTTCCAAGCGCTCCGAGACGCTGCCCCGTGTGAAAGGCGCTATACAAGCGCAAGTCGTTGCTGTTGTGACTGTGTACGTGTAGGTGAATGTGGTAGCTAATTCGCAGACGGCAATGGTCCCAGAAACAGCCATGAAGTCATTTAAAAAAATCTAAATCTGGAGAATGATGGCCAGTTCACCAAGAGTAATGCCCTTCTCTTTTGTGAATAGTGCTGTGGAAACTTTAACGTCCACTGAACATGCAGACAGTTTAACATTTCACCTGAAGGCCAACGCCTCCCTCCTCGAGCACTGCACAGGGCTGGAATATCAGCCTCGAACATGAATGAGCTCAAAATCCAGACTTGAATCCAAAACTTTATGACTCAGAGGCGAGTGCTACCAACTGAAGCAAGTTGACACCTGAATCTCTTGTAAACAAGCAATTGCTGATTACAGGAGCTTTTACCACCTAATCCATGAACAATACATACAAGGATTGGTCGGTAAAGTCATTCAGACTCTCCATATGTCTCTGGAATCTGGATTTATTTCCGTCATATAGGAATAGGAGATCATTTAGTCCGTTAAGTCTGTTCCGCTGATTTGTTAGTTCACAGCAGATCTTTGAATTCTATTTACCTGCCTTTTCCCTGTATCTGTTCTTCCCAAGTGTCTATGTCATGTAAATTGTCCTTTCCTTCCCTTCCTTTTAAATAGCCCAATATTTCCTGTATCTCCTCGTTCTGGGCCAGTGCATTCCAGACTCTGACAATGAGAAGAAATGTTTTCTGATCTCACTTCTAAAAGCTTAGAATATATTGTGGAGTCCTGTAGCGCATTGTATACCCAGCAATAAATTGGAACCCGGTTGTTAGTCGATTAACGGATCGCTTTTCTGGGGATAATAATCCCTTCAAAAATAAAATAATGATAATTTGGTCGCTCAATCCATGACTGTTTGTGGCCCACAAAATATACAGTCAATTCACTTTACAATACATTATGTGAAGCACTTTGAGACATCTCAACGACGTGAAAAGGCTCTATGTCAAATGGAAGGATTATTATCAGGTTTCCTCTTAAAATAGTTTGATGTTTCTGCTTCAACTATAGTTTCTGGCAGCAAGTTCCTTATTCTCACATTCTGAATATAGAAGTTCTTCCTAAACTTCCTTTTAGATCTGCTCAAAATATATATTTTTGTTCCGTTGTTTTGGACTCACCAACAACTGGAAACAGCTGATCAATAAGCACTTTATTAAAACCCATCATAGTCTTAAACCCCTCTATCAGGTCCCCTCTCAACTGTCTCAACTGTCTCATCTCCAGAAAGAAGACTTGGCCAATTTCTCTTGGATAGACATTTCCATTCAGCCCTTGTAAACCTACACTGTGCTCTCTCCATTGATACAATATCCTTCCTATTTTTCATAGCAAAGGCAATAAGGGTTTTAAAAGAAAAACTATGATCCATTTGTACTTATCTATCGATATCAAACCCTGTGTAAAAGAGGTAATTGCTCAATTATTATTATTATTATCAGTGCAAAGGAGAAATGTGATGGGACGCCCACTATATAAATAATATCTTCTATTCACTCAGCCACAAACAAAACTTTAATTCCACACCTTTGAACACAATGGCAGAGTCAAGCTGTTTTGTGTTACAGGCCGGACTTTGCACGTTGACCTCATCAGACAATATTTCAACACAGAAAATAAATACAGCTACTAATGCCTGACCGAGGAAGTGCGCATTTGCTATTCACACTTGAATTGCTTCACTCGAGACGACTGTAGGATATTGGTGGTTTTGCTGGGAGAAATAAACCGCTGCTTGGTGACTGTGCTGCTCAACCACACCGAGTTAAGCAGTTTGGTATCAAAGTGGGGGGGTGTGAAGTGTGCTTTTAGGTAAGATACTGGAAATAGAATACAGAGTTAGCAAGGAATAAGCCCATCAAGTGGAAAAAACTGACCCTAGGCTCATGCTAAGCATAAGTAACAGCAGCGTCAAAATAGCAGTGACTAAAAATAAATGGACAAGGCTCAGTTGGTGAAGCTACTGCCTGGTATGAATGTTACAGACCGGAAAGCTTCCAGGTTTTATGTGAGTTAGATTTTACTGGGCAATAGGGGTACTGGCTGCAATTTACCTCCTTGGCTCTGATCTTGGGAGTGTAAATGCTGCCGTAAAGTTCTTATATGTGAAAATTAGGAGCACACAGAATCAGACTTCCTCTCCGTGGTAGATAACCCTGATACAACTGACTGTCTTGGTTCCCACATGAAGAATGCTAATTTTTGTTCGAGTCAGCTGAGTGTCTGACACTTTGTGGAAGCCCATCACTAATGCTAAAGAGTAGCCAAACTAAACTGAGAGTTCCACAAATGTATGGCACTTACACACATAAAACTTTCCCCACACCGCCTTATTACATAAATTTAAAACATATTAACAACAATGCCTCCATTTCTTAATAGAACCTATACGATCCCAACATCTCAAAGCGCTTCACAGGGAATTGCTGTTAAAGGTAGTTAATGACTACTGATAATAATAAGTCTCAAAATGGACCTTGAACAACAGAGGAAGGAACCTTGTTCCCCACTTCCCCAAGAAGTGTCCAAATGTGGAATCCTGTAGCTTAGTGGTTAAAGCACTCGCCTCACAAGTGAAGGGACCCGGGTTCGATTCCCAGGCTGGGCGAAACCTTAGGCAAGTTTCCTTATTCCACAAACCTCTCTGTTTACCTAGCAGTAAGTAGGAACCCGGTTGTTAGTCGATTGGCGGATTGCTCTTCCGAGAATAATAATCCCTCCAAAAATAATAATAATAATAATTTGGTCACTCGATCCACGACTGTTTGCGGGACACTGCTGTGTGCAATTGGCTGCCGCGTTTCACCCACAAAATATACAGTCAATTCACTTTACAATATATCCTGTGAAGAGCTTTGAGAGGTCTCAATGAGGTGTTAAGCCGTTATATCAAATGCAAGGATGATGATGATTATTATTATCATCCTTAAACCACGTACCTCTTTGGAGCTGGGGATGTTGCTGTGGTCTTTCTCCATTAGGGCCCATTTCAGGACGCTGGTGAAAGCTGGAGGTTTCCAGGTCGGCCAAGGGTTAACGAACCGGCCGTTTTCTCCCCTCTTGGATTTGGTGACGTCCTCCTCCAGGCGGTAATCCAGCCGGAAACTCTTCCTGGAAGCTCGGGACGAGGTGCTGCCCCTCGAGTCTCGGCTGACATTGATCCCTCGCTTCTTCACGGCTTCCTTCGGGTAGTGGCTGTGAGAAAGTGGAGCCCGCCCTTGGGAGCGTTCGTCCATTTCTTTATCCCTCCAATCCAATCTTTAATACAAACACCAAAGTTATCATTATTACTAAAATCCACAGTCCAGAACCCTGAATATTTTAGTGATTTTGTTTTAATTATTATTGTTAGGGCAGGGAATCAAGGGATACGGGGCAATTGGAGTTGAGGCACAGATCAGCCATGATCTATTAGAATGACGGAACAGACTCGAGGAGCTGAATGACCTACTCCTGTTCCTGTTCCTATGTTCCTAGATATCAATTACATGGGGAGAGGGGGAATAATTATATTTAATTATTATTATTATTATATATAATTATATTTATATATACGCATATATGCATATGTATTGATTCCTTCTCCCTCCATGTAATTCTTTTTATATATATATTTTAATATACACAGTATATATATATATCAAAACGTCTATTGGTAAAAAATATCTATAGTATATAATTAGTTATGCCCACAAAATACATGCACAGGCGTCCACATCCCATTTTGCCCACAAAATACACAGTCAATCCACTTTACAATATATTCTGTGAAGCGCTTTGAGACGTCTCAACGACGTGATAAGGTGCTGGTATCAAATGCAAGAATTATTATATTATTATGTAAATAATATTGCACTAAATCCATTTGCTGACAATGCCGTCCTTTATACCAGTAGGAACAGGAGAGATCAGGAGTTGCATGACCAAGTAACTAATCTCTCGTTGCATTTTAACCAAATAATGACAAAATTAAAAGTTGGAATGAAATGAAACGCAAAGCGGATCGCTGCACTGAACACGTTAAGCACTTTCACGAGCCAAAGCCCTGTATCATGGTCTATAATAGGTACAGCGGAAATGTCAATACAACATGGAGCTTTGCAAATAAAGTTAAAAATAAATCTGTTGGCATCCAGCTCACGAAACAACGGTAACCTTATATTTAAAACGAAACGTTTCGCCCCCAAAATATACAGTCAATTCACTGTATAGTTTACGGTATATCCTGTGAAGCGCTTTGAGACGTCTCGAAGACCTGATAAGGCGCTGTATCAAATGCAAGGATTATTATAAGTGGTATTATTAGTAATATTTACGGTACATTCTGTGAAGCGCTTTGAGACGTCTCAACAACGTGATAAGGCGCAGTGTAGTATTATTATTATTATTATCAAAAACATTACAAATCGCAGTGCACCCCCCCAAAAAAAACAAGCTGGATTATTTCACTTATCTGCAATAAATTACTGAGCCTCTATAGAAGGGGTCAGTTTCTCTCTCTCTCTCTCTCTCTCTGTGTTTGTGTGTGTGTTAAACAGAGTTGGAATTGCAGATCAAATTACTTGCACGTCTGGGAGCATCGGAAGCGAGAGGAGGGGGGAAAGAAACAGCAGACAGATAGAGAGGATAGAGAGAGAGGATAGAGAGATCTCTTTGAAGGAGGCGAGGATCCAGCCAGGTTTTGCTACTTCCCTCCGAAGGCTAAAATTTATCTTTCTCTCCCTCCCCTTGTGGTTCCCAGCCTCAGATGATGTAACAGAGGAACCAGTCAGAGCTTTGGTGTCAAACCCCCACAACCACATGCCCTGATATTTCCCTTATTATTCCTGCAAATGAGACATTCAAGCCCCTTTTAGTGAAATTAACTCACTCAAGATTTTTGTCACCAAGAGGACATTAGATGGTTTCTTTCTCTGGACCTCAACTCGATTAAAGCAAATATATATATATATATATATATATACAGAATATATATATATACACACATATATATATATACAACAATAATTATTATTAAATATCTAGGTGCACACGTACACACATATATATATAGATATATATACACTAAGTCGCATTTTAAAGGAAAAATAACTTACCGAATTTTCTGGCTGTCAAATCAGGACAAAAAGTCAAGAGTTTTAATAAAACGACATCACAAAAGCTCGTAAAGATCCATCCACTGTTTGCACCTCAGCAAAAAAATGCAGGGAATAAAGTGCAAAGTGAAACCTGACAAAAGACAACTGGGGATGGTGCAGAGACACAGACACCTGGAATAAAAAAGGCACTGACACCACACACACACACACACACAGACAGAGAGAGAGAGAGATGGACTGCAATAATACATGTGTGTTAAACAGTAAAGTTGCAGTAAAGGGACATTAACCCTTATTAACCTGGTGCAATTGAGGTTTCAGTTTCCCCCTTGAAATCCAATTTAAAAAAAGGACATTTTAATACAATTTAACACCAGTGTGTGCAACACTCACAGTTCCTTTCCAAGTGTCCAGATCCTGTCCTCATTCTCCAGACCTGCCTGAAGTTTTAAAACCCTCTCTGACCATTCTCCCTCTTCTCTCTCTCTCTCTCTCTCTCTCTTCTCTTTCCCCCTCTCTCTGTGCTACATCTATTTCTGGTAAAGTTCTGTATGACTGAGTGACAGCCACTGCAGCTAACCTTAGTGCAAAGGAAAGGGGAGACACAAGAGAGAGAGAGAGAGAGAGAAACATAGACCGACTTGAAAAAAAATTAAGATTTTACACTCTTATCCTTGCAATAAAAACATACATTTGGCGTATAATCGAGTAGAGTTGACTTGACTCAGGCTCCCCTTCTCTGTCGATTGCCACCGACTAAATAGCCTGAAACATTTCTTTCTGTGTGTGTGTGTTTTGAGAAGGCTCCTCCTCAAAAAGGTAGTCCTCGAAGTCTGTGTCATAGGGATTTGCATCAATTCCCCCCCCCCCAAACACTAAGTAAAGCATGGGAGGAGGGGAGAGGGAGAAGATTCCTGTTGCCCGGGTTTTAATAATGGATTTAAACCAAGTTCCAGTGAAGATGACGATGCCAATCCTTGCATTTGATGTCGCGTCTTCGAGACGCCTCAAAGCGCTCGCGGAATGTACCGCAAAGTGAATTGACTGTGTATTTTGTGGGCGAAACGCGGCGGCCGATTGCGGGCAGCGGCGTCCCCGCGCCCACGGTGGCGGATTGAGTGACCAAATTATTTTTTAAAAAGGGATTATTACCTCCCAGAAAAGCAATCTGCCCTTGTTAACAACCGGGCTCGTACTTACTGCCGGGTAAACAGGCGTGTGGAGTAATAACAATACTAACAATAATCCTTGCATTAAATATAGCGCTTTTCACGTCTTCTCGACGTCTCAAAGCGCTTCACAGAATAGACTGTAAAGTGAATGGACCGTATATTTGTGTGTGTGTGTGGGGGGGGGCAGTGGGGAGCTGTAATTTATAAACACAACGTGTGAAAGAGGGGAGAGACAGAGAGAGAGAGAAAGAGGGGGAGAGAGAAAAGGGGATATGTGTGGGGGGGGATGTGGGGTTATATATATATAGAGAGAGATTCACCTGCAATAGGATCTGTGTGTGTGTGGTGGGGGGGAGTGTGTGTGTGTGTTTAGTGTGGGGGGGGGAGCGTGTGTGTGTGTGTGTGTGTGTGTGTGTGTGTGTGTGTGGGGGGGGGGGGTGTGTGTGTGTGGGGGGGGAGTGTGTGTGGGGGAGTGTGTGTGGGGTGTGTGTGTGGTGGGGGGGGAGTGTGTGTGTGGGGGAGTGTGTGTGTGGTGGGGGGGGGAAGTGTGTGTGTGTGGTGGGGGGGGAGTGTGTATGTGGGGGAGTGTGGTGGAGTGTGTGTGTGTGGTGGGGGGGGGTGTGTTGTGGGGGGAGTGTGTGGAGTGTGTGTGTGTGGTGGGGGGGGGAGTGTGTATGTGGGGGAGTGTGTTGTGGGGGGAGTGTGTGTGTGGGGGGAGTGTGTGGGGGTGTGTGTGGAGAGTGTGTGTATGGGGTGTGTGGGTGTGTGTGTGGGGGAGTGTGTGTGTGGGGGAGGTGTGTGTGTGGTGGGGGGGGGGGGTGTGTGTGTGGGGAGTGTGTGTGTGTGGTGGGGGGGAGTGTGTTGTGGGGGAGTGTGTGTGTGGGGGGTAGTGTGTGTGTGTGGGGGGGAGTGTGTATGTGGGGGGAGTGTGTGTGTGGGGAGTGTGTGTGTGTGTGGGGAGTGTGTGTGTGTGGGGGGAGTGTGTGTGTGGGGGGGGTGTGTATGTGGGGGAGTGTGTGTGTGGGGGAGTGTGTGTGTGGTGGGGAGGGTGTGTTGTGGGGGAGTGTGTTGTGGGGGAGTGTGTATGTGGGGGAGTGTGTGTGTGTGTGGGGGGGGGGTGTGTGGGGGAGTGTGTGTGTGGGGGAGTGTGTGTGTGGGGGAGTGTGTATGTGGGGGGAGTGTGTGTGTGGGGGAGTGTGTGTGGGGGGGAGTGTGTGGGGGTGTGTGGAGAGTGTGTGTATGGAGTGTGGGGGGCGGTGGTGGGGGTTATATATATATACATATATAGAGAGAGAGGGGATCACCTGTCGGGTGTCGGTGTCGGTGCTCCGCAGTTTCCTGACTCTCGTCCTCTGTCCTCTTTCCCCCAAAGCCTCCGGACCGAGTGGAGCCCTCGTCTGAGTGCCGCCGACCGACCCGACCCGACCGGGGGGGGGGGAGAGGGGGGAGAGGAGAGGCCGCCGGAGAGCAGAGCAGAGCAGCCTCTCCCCCAGAGAGCAGCCCATCCGCCAGTGCCGGAGCTGTGCTCGGCTTCCCCTCGGGCTGGGGGGGGGGGGGGTAGGTGTGGGGTTAGGGTGTGGGTGGGGCTGTGGGTATGGAGGGGTGTGGGTGGGGTTGGGTTGGGGGGTTGGGGTGGGGTTGGGGGTGGTGTGGGGGTTGGGGGTGTTGGGGGTGTGGGTGGGGTTGGGGGCTGGGTTGGGGTGTTGGTGGGGGCTGGGGTGTGGGTGGGGGCTGGGGTGTGGGTGGGGGGCTGGGGTGTGGGTGGGGGCTGGGGTGTGGGTGGGGGTTGGGGCTGGGGTTGGGGGCTGGGGTGGTGGGTGGGGGCTGGGGTTGGGGGTTTGGGGGGGCTGTGTGGGTGGGGTGTTGGGGTTGGGGGGCTGGGGTGTGGGTGGGGGGTGGGGTTGGGGGCTGGGGTGTGGGGCTGGGGTTGGGGGTGTTGGGGGGGCTGGGGTTGGGGGGTTGGGGGGCTGGGGTTTGGGTGTGTGGGGGGCTGGGGTTGGGGTGTTGGGGGGGCTGGGGTGTGGGTGGGGGGCTGGGGTTGGGGGTGTTGGGGGGCTGGGGTTGGGGGGTTGGGGCTGGGGTTGGGGTGTTGGGGGGCTGGGGTTGGGGGGCTGGTGGTGTTGGTTGGGGCTGTGGGGGTGGGTGGGCTGGGTTGGGGGGTGGGGGTGGGCTGGTGTTGGGGGTGGG